TGACCGTCCAAATGTCAAGCTCCCGCGGCGTAATCCGGAAGGAGGGCCAAAAAAGGATGACCAAAAAAGGATGACGACGACGCCCTCACGTGAAGCTAATCAGTTGGCGAAAAGTACAAAATCAACCGCACCAGGTGAAACTGCGATATACCGGCCCAATAATCGGGGGAAGGAAAAGGGAAGAGGGAGAGAGGGAAGAGGGAGAGGAAGAGTGTGTGGGTGTGGGTGTGGGTGTGTACTCAAGTATGAGAAGAAAGAGAAACAGTGTACAGTACTCGAGTAAGAGTGTGGACAAAAGAGCAGAACTTGACCTAGTTAAATTACCCCCTCTGGATGCTCGAGCACTCCCACGCATGATGTAACTTTGCTCTCTCCCACTGATGATAGAGTCTTGGCCTTACTGTACGAGTACTCGTACTCGTACTGTAGCACAATCAACTTGCTCCGCCTCCCTCCGCCCTATCCATTTGCTCGCACAGAGTAACCCCCCCAGTTATGATATTGATAATTATTATGGGAAGTGGAGAGACCCAGAATCCGTCACTCTGTTTGCTGACACACCACCACCGCCTTACTGATTCCGGTGCTCGAGTATGACAATCTCCCGCAAGTTCCCCCACCATAGCTCAAGGAACTTTTCCCGCCCGTCTTCCTCGGCCCACTAACCCGCTGTTTCAATCCATTTCCTCCGCGCCACAACGCGCACGTGCACACGCGAACGGAGAAAATTTAGCTTTGGCGTAACGCGGTATGAATCGCGTGTTGGTTTCCATTCCATTTGATGAAAATTGTGACTTCGATTGGACGGGTACAGTACGGTGTTCAAGTTTATGTACAGTACGATATTTTCTCTGTTTTCATAAGACTCCCATCTACCGAGTTACACATAGCGGCTGCTACCGTGACAGCATCGCATCGTACCGCATAAGTTATTATAATGCAATACCAGTAGGAAAACTCCGCCGTCCCACCCTAACCCACGCATCTACTCAAGAGGGAGGAAAAAATAAGGAATACAAGACATGAAATTCTCCCGAGAGAAAAAGCACTGGAGAGAAGAGAAAGGGGGGGGAAAAAAAGGAAAAAAGAAGAAAACTCCCAATCCCTAACGGTGGTGATTTACTGTAAGGAAAAAAGGGAGGAAAAAAGACTACACACATGAAGTGGGAAGTAACAAGCAAACAAGGGGGTAAAAAAAAGAACACTCTCTCCTATCCAACCCATGAGAGGTAAGTAAACAGGCTGGCTGATGCTACGCTGAATAGAGACATAGAGAGGCTATGATAGGAGAAATGGGAAATTCATGAATCGTCCTACTGAAGACTCATCTTCATAATTGCATCGTGGGTATCTAGACCACATTAGTCGCCGTCCACCCGGAGAGAAACGAACATACCACTCATGCCCTGAAAGTTCAACCTCTTTCCCCCACCTCCTCCGCCAAGGGGCGGAGACGCCGCGAGTATGGGACTGCCAGAGAGGCCCGGTGACACGGCCCTTCTTTTGAAAACATTGGGCTCAAAACGCTCATCTTGGGTTCTCCTACGCTTTGCCCGGCGCATTTCTGCTGGCATGTTGGCGACGGGTGAGTTTACGACGGATTCGGAATTCATCTGTGTGCTTGTGTATAAGTGTGGGTAGACTCAAGGGGGATGAGGAATGAGAGGGTAGTGGTTACCATTATGTCGCCGTCAGTGGACATTCTGAGACCAGGGAATGTAGGAGGGCTGCCACCCAGTCCCTCCATTTGGTCTCCGAACCAGAAGCCTCCGTGTCTTTGGGCTTGCTTGGAGAAGCTGATACCAATCCCTTTATTGCTGTCTCCATAACTCATGCCTTCGTCTTCCTCACGGATGTCGGATAATTCTGCATCTTGAGTATTTGCAGGGCCCGGGGGAGGCGAATTGTCTTCTTCGTCACGAATTTGACGAGTTATTTCAGCTTCCCTCTTCACTTCCATATCGAGTGGCGAAGCTTCTTCGATGAGTGCAGCTTTGATGCGTTGGAAATTCTTTGTCTTGGGCTAAATTTCGCACAAACACATCAGTAACCTCCCACCCCCCAACTCTCGAACTAAGGACCCATATACACACCAGTAAAGATCCACGCCTGGACACTGGCCTCCTAATAGGGTCCGGTCTATCCTTCTCGTCCTCACTCGCGGTCCCGCCAAAAAGCCCCATACTTCCACCCCCGCCTCCCCCACCGCCCGGTTTCCCAATCTTGAAAGAACTCCTCAGAACCTGACTAAGACTCTCCTTCCTCCTGCCCCCCCCCTCCCCCTGCGGCCTCCCAAAATATCCTCCCGTAAACGCACTCCCCAGCTGCACTGGCGGGGTGGTGGGTGAGGGGCTCGCCAAACTACTATTACTAGCGCTAGCAGAGGAATTCGAGCTATGTCTACTCCTACCACGAGCACCCAACCTCGCCTTCTGGTGATTCCTCAAGGAAATAGAGGCGGCAGATTCGTTATTCGACATGGCAGGCGTGGTAGGCGTGTTGAATTCAAAGTCTAGATCGACGTCCAAATCCTCGTCGGATGAGGAACCACTGCCGTCGACGCTAGGTGCGTAGTCCAGCATGCAGGTAGACCCCAACGATGACGCATGGGACGAGGAATGATGGCCACCATGATGGCTTGCTATGGGTGAGTCGGAGCCTTTGTTGTGATTGCTATTGTTCCGTGGGATTGGGAAGCAGGTGTGGTTAAGTGGTGAGGAGTCTGGAGACGGTTGCTCGGCGAGGGTGGAATGGTGGAGGGAGGTACCTGTGAGCGGGGGGCATCAGCCTATGGTACAACCACACAATAAACTCCGGCCCACCAAAAAAAAGAGGCAAAGGATGCAATCATACAAGCCCGAGCAAAGTCAAGCCTAGGCCTCCTCGCAACCGAGTAACCAAGCGCAGGGTCCAAGACCGGAGATAAAGGCCCACGGGAGGGCATCTGCAGGGATAATCGTCCAGGAAAATTTAATCGTCTAGGAGTAAAGGGTGCAGAAGCTGTTCCTGCCACCGCCGCTGCTGAAGAAGAAGAGGAGGAGGGGGAGGAGGAATTGGTGTTGATGATGCTGTTGTTGTTATTGATGTTGTTTGTACTAGGGGTTACGGCAGCAGAAGCAGCAATCGTACTGGTCATCCGGTTGGTTTGGCTCTCCAAGAGCTTCTTGTCGGCGTGGGCAGCGGAGGCGGGGGGAGCTATTGCTGGGTGAGATGGTGGAAGTGAGGCGGCTAGTTGTGAGGATAGTGACGACGTAGTGCGCCTGGCTCCCGGTAGTGGAGTAGGCGTTGACGGACGGGCACTGGCGGAATGCATTCCTTCTGTTGGTGAAGGACGGGGACTCTGTGTGTCTGTCCCTCTGCTTCGCTCCTGCGTGATAACTGCCCTGTGCAGCGGGGGTGTGTGGCGGTTAAGTATTTCCTTCAACTTCTTCTGGTTGGTGCGAGTTAACCTATGGTAATCGTAATCACTGTATTAACCCTGTTATCATAGCGCTTCGGTGGGGTTATTCATTCGGGAATCTTGTGATATCATATGATATTATGATATTATCTCCCCTTCTGCTTCGTATGTTGTAAAGCAAGCGCAGTACAAGCACTATAACGCTAATGCGATGACGGGATGGTGTTGGTGGTGGGGCAGGGATTTGTTGATAAACATCAAGTATGATAAGTATGATACGGTATGATAAATTAACTCCCCCTTCATTCGTGCTGGGGTTAGAGAATCATAGTTCGTCACTCATATCTCCTCTCGCTTAACAGGGTAACTTTGGAAGCTGCTCCGACGCTGGATTCCCGGCGGGTTTCTTGGCGAGGTCTTTTCTCCCTCGCCCTGCACCACCCGCATCACATTAGGGAATCTGGTTTACTATGATACCATTTTCTAATGTCTAGTCGGCCTTCGCTCTTCGACATCACCACCGCCACCACCACCACCTCCACCACCACGAGCACAAACCAGACCTCACAAACTTCCACGCTCTAAAACAACCCGCGAAGCAAAAACAAAACACTTTGCGACCAAACCGCAATCATGCAAGGTTTTAACATGGGGTGCTTTTTCCTTCCCATCCTTCACCCTCACACAATGTGCTAACATCCATTCCCCAGACGCTACGTCCCCCCGGACCAAGAAGGCATCTACACCGGTAACCAGCTTCACAAAAAAAAACCCCCGGGGATCCATGGCAGCACCCAAACCGTGCGTTTCGAAATGCCCTTCGGCATCTTCTGCCTCACCTGCGACGGACACATAGCGCAGGGCGTGCGCTTCAACGCCGAGAAGAAGAAAATCGGCAAGTATCACACCACGCCGATATTCAGCTTCCGCATGCGACATGTCAGCTGCAGCGGGTGGATCGAGGTGCAGACCGATCCAAAGAATACGAGGTACGTTGTTACTGAGGGAGGCAAGAAGAAGGGTGGAGATGAGGGGGAGGGGGATGCGGTGGTGGGAGAAATCCACATTCGAGATCCGAATATGCCCGGTGATCCATTCGCCGCGGTGGAGAAGAAGGTCGTGGATAAGGCCGGTGTCAAAAAGAGTACCGAGAGGATTGAGGAGTTACGCGGGTTGAGCGATAGGCAGTGGCTCGACCCCTACGAGCATTCCAGGAAAATGAGAAGAGTGTTCCGGGAGAAGAGGAAGGAGTTACAAGCGAAGGACGCTGCGAACGAAGCCATCCGTGACCGTGCGGGACTGCACATTGAGCTTCTCGATGAGATCCCTGAGGACAAGACCCGTGCGCAATTGGTCGAGTTCGGACCGGATTATGGAGATAAGGTCGAGGAGGCTAGGACAAAGCCTTTGTTCGCTACTGCCACTACTGCCACTACCACTACTGCCCGGGATTCCACGAAGAAGGCTTCAAAACGGGATACAGCGGGGAAGACAAAGGCGCAGTTGGCTGCCGGGGCTGCGAGGGAGAAGTTACAGAGCGAGATTAGGAGGAATACGAGGGCGAGGGTGGATCCGTTTTTGAGCTTCGATAAGCCGAAGGTTGGGTTGGAGTTTAAATTGCTCAAGAGGAAGTATATGGAGGCTGGGCCTGAGACTGAGCCTGAACTTCAGTCTGATGATGCTCGGGATGGGGAGCAGTCGGGTGAACCACCTAAAGAGACGGCAGCCGGTGGAATCGGGCGTGTACAACCGGGAGTCTCGCTAGGCCTGGGCGCATATGAATCTGACGATGACTGATGAGGTTCTGTGTTATATATTCGTTCTCGTGGTTTTATGGGGGTTGGGACACCTGTGACAGCATTATTACGGCGTTTTTGGCTTGGTTTCATTTTTGGGGGGCGGGGTTGGCTATTGGTTGGGAAGCGGATCGTTCCAGAACCTCATGACATGTCTACATTCGAGTCTGGGCGTAATACCCGCGCCCTGTGAGCATATATATAGCTGTAATGAGTGCACGGAGCTGCGATCAAGCACTTCAGCTTATCATTTGGTTTTGTTTGTGTTTCCTTGGGAAAAACTAACTAGTGGCCAACTGGGAGGTGCTTGAGGACCCTGCGCATCCCTAATTACGATCGATGCGTTTACAACACGGGTTTATTAACCCGCTTATGTTTTCTCGGATCGTTCCTTCTCAATAGCCTTTTATCTCTGGTTCCTGTTCCACCTTCCCAGTAGCCAGTGTACCTCTTGATGAACGCATGCTTACAGTATCCACATTCTTCTGGGCGATACTGCTGTTCGCTGCACCGTTCTCAATACTTCAGTGGCTAGATCATATGGAAGTGGTACCGGGTACACTAACCGAGAGCAGGTTCCGCAGATCATTCTGTTTGCATGTTCCCAGTGATGGAAAGGTTCAACCTGTTTATCGTGACATTTGTCACATGGGAAGACCTACGCATTATGGTTAACATTTGGGTTTGTACCGATTAAAGGCGGTAGCGTAAATTTACCTTGTTACAGCTGTTACCAGCAGGAGGTAATTAAGTTAGTAAAGAGTCGTCATCGTATAGGCATAATTGGCCTCGGCGGATCTTACCAAGAGAATCTGAACCAGCGAGTGCCTAGGAGGTGTTAGTGGGTGTCTATCTAGCGTTGGCCGGAGAATCCCTACTCTTTTTGTAATGTGCACAACGTCCCTGGAAGGGCAATTCATGGCCGATTACATAACGCTCGCGTTCGGTGGACTGTTAGAATCTTAGAAGTGGCTAATAGGACAGTCTTGTGAATTTTAAGGTACCTTCTTATTAGGAATCTGAGATACTAGCTCAGTTGACACTTTAGAACCCATTAGCGTTCGCTCAACAGGATTTTTTAATGAATAATCCGATAGTAATGTTTACCTTCATCTTCAGGTGTAATACGTAGCAACTTTATTTCTGGAATGAGGATGCCTGGAGAGTGCGTTAGGGCGCAGGTCATTGAGAGCTTTGGGTGGAGGTTCTTACTCAATTTTGCATGACATTCGCGACAGTTCGTGCTCTGTCTCTGCCCGGGAACAAGACCCTTGACACCGGGCGATGGAAGCGAAGTAGAACATGAAGCACATTGTGGGATAAAATCACTCGGAAGTATTTCCACAATCGTACAACCTGCCAAATCAAAGAACCCGAGACGGTTGGAATTCACGTGAACAAATTCTCGACGAAATCCTACAAGAGTGTTAGTTTAAGCGCTATTTGATTGATTGATTGTGAGTACGATACTACCAATTCCCAGAACTTGTGAACACTTTTCGCATTGGCTTAGCTTAGGTTTGGAACCCTTCCCGGGCAGGGTAGGCTTCAGATCATTGACCTCAAGCTCTTTCTTGCATTTTAAACACTTGATGGTAGCATTAAGTTTCGCAATTTCCAAGAGCTGAACTCCAGGCATATCGATACCTGGGAGGGACATTGCTGTTCCACGCTCGATAGCTTTCTGATCCACTTGACCGCCAGCACCTCCGGCATCTTCATCCTGGTTGGACCCGTGATCGTCTGAAACATAGTCATCGGAATCATATTCAGAACTCTCATCGTCATCAGACTCCCCATCTTCCGGGACGTTCCAGTCTGGGGGGCGTGGGATAACCTGAACGTGGACTTTATCTTCTAGCACAAGACCTGATGGCTTTTCCTTGCTGGGAACTGTAGTGGCTGTAGGGCCCACAATGAGGTCCTCGAGCGATTGAGCCGTTTCTTCAATGCGCTCCTCGTGTTGATTCTCTGAGGACTCCTCCTGTGTCGCCATGATGTGCAAGTTCGAATATAGCGCATTGATATTTTCCATTAAGGTGAACTTTGGATTCTTCTGGATTTGTTTGGTGAAACCATTGTTGACCCTCCTAACCACGTCCTCGGGTACTCCAGGAAATTCTAGCCAGGGTCGATCGATGTCGTAACTTAACGGGACAATCAGCACCGCACTGGTTACTTTCTGCAGAGGGATCGGAAGTTGATATTTTTTCCTTGGTTCAATTGGGATCGTGAAACGGGTGCCATCTTCGGACTTCCTAAAGATCTTTGACTCTCTCATCCTCGCCTCTAAGCGGCGGGTCTCATGTTGTCTCCTGTCTTGCACTGCACAAACTTCCTCGAGTGTCAAATTATCAATTGGAAGAGCTATGAGAGGTACCGAAGGTTTAGGTGGCTGGACAATAGTTATTGGTGCTTGGCTCCGGTTGGGTTGGCGTGAAGTGAACTGACTAGTATTTGGCACGATCTTGAGTGTCTCAACCTTCTCTGTTCCCAAAAATCCTTCCAGACATCTATCTAACGAATTAAGGAGGTCAAGAAGCGTAGCATCTTCCTTTCTAGTGGCAAGGCCATCGAAGCCGCGTTCGATATTCACCCTGAACCCAATGGGAATATCCTCATTTATAACCTTAATGGAAGGCAGCACATCCCGAGATTCGGGATATGATTTTGGGACAGATAATTTGAAGACAAGTTTCTTGATGTCATAAGGAAAATCGGGGTCCGATGGAGACATTGATACTGTGATTTCTGTATCTGCGACTTGGCCACGGCATTCGAACCTTCTCAGGACCTGAGATATAAACTCACTTCTGCCCCGTGTAACAGGACGCTTCACAACCTTTGAAGGATTGACATTGATGAGGCGTCTCTGTTGAGAAATCTGGACGTCTATGTCACTTTGAGAACTAGGATTTTCACCGATACCTTGATACTGGATGGAGTTTTGGCCTTTGCCTATGTTATCAGAGCTATTAGTGCCTCCTCCTCGACCGCCTCTAGCCCTACGGCCACCAACACCACCGCGAGGGTTGTTTGTGCGGTGGGTTTCAGGTTGGGGGATTAAGGTTCCCTCTCCGCCTTGAGAATACACTACAGATTATTGTGAGCATTGCGGGGCCGTTTAACCTAAAGAGACATGAATAACGCTATTCGGATATCTTACCAGTTTGTTTGTCCTTAGGTTTTCTATTCCCGGCCCTCCTTGGCTTGGCATTTTCAACCATTGGAGCCAGTCCTGGTATGGAATCCATGATGGTAGGAATATTGAGGGGATGGGTCTGTCGGGTGTGATTGAACTCTCGTTGAGCGAAGGTGAGCTTGCTGGAGGTTCGAGAAGTTACCGAGCTTGAGGAACAGAGGAGTAAGAGGAGAATCGGGGTGAGATTTGTGTACCGGTAGTGGTAGAATTAAGTGTGTTAGGCGGCGTCCAATCGTATGGTAGGGCTGAGAATGACTCCACTGATCGACCTACCCTGTAGCTGTCCTATCGATACCAAGAGACGGTGAGACAAACAAGTAAATACTGAGTCAGTCCAGCGGTTCAAAGCACGGGATGGTATGGAGACGTTGCTTCGCTATCAAGCTCGTATCTGGAAACGAGTGATTAATGATTCTTTCTCAGAGGTCTGAGAGAGATGCTCGTACAGTCCAGGAGTGAACTTGTAACCCTACAGAGGGGTGCTTCAGAAATGACTCAAGGGACAGGGCAGTAACGTCGTAGAGGGGACAGCGAGCAGCGCGACCAAATTTGGCGTTCGCCACCAGGTTTTTTTGGTGTATTGTTTGCCGTGCATACTATTTGTTACCCCTCCTCTAATTTAATTTACCACGCTGACACACTCGACTAGAAACTCGATAAGTTAAGTTTAGGGTCCATCATCCTCGGCTGTCCTGTTTTCTTCACCGGTTTAGTTAGCAAATTGCCAAGTTGCACTGGAATTTCGAGTGTTCTTCTATGACTCACACATTTGCTATTATCATAGTTAGGGGGTGCTCGTGCCAAGGTTGTGGCACAGCCACAACCCACGGCAGCTCGCTGGCTCGCAACCGTGGGCACTCTCTTGAGAGTGCCCAACAGCTCAATGGTTCTTGACAGCTCAACAGTCCATTGCTGGTTGCCATGGCAATGCCCTAACTTTACACAATAAGACTATTCAGCAGCACATGAGAAATTAAGAATACAGAGAGATGAATTAGAATAGAGTATAATTTTGAATTAAATATACTAACATGAGAATACAACTACTCTATATTACATTGATTTCTGCAGCCTTGATTGCTGCTTAATATCCTTGATTATTAGTCTGGATATTTTCTTTTTATATGCTAGCATAGTACGTCTGTCTTTGACATACGTTTTCATCTCAGTTAGTAATGGTTTACGTTCAGCATGCTCAGCTTTTTTCTTTGCATTTTGTACATGTCTTAACTGGTTTTCAGCCTTTTCAAGCTCTGCATCCTCTCTTTTTTTAACCATCTGTCATGCATCTTCAGGATATATAACTCCATCTTTTTGTACTTGTCATCTATTTTGACCCTTTTGCTGTGCACTTCTTGCTTCCTCCGCTGCTCTGGTATTTTCCAGATGTTCCATAGCTAGGGCTCCAGACTGTGATGAGCTAGTCCACCCTGTAAGACTAGCTTTAGCCTGCGCTGAAATGTAGGAGAAAGATCTGCTACCTCGCGGAGTAATTCATCTCCATGTTATTTAAGACTTCGGATTGTAAGTGGTATGGTAGAAGAGCTGATAGCAGGAGGGGTAACTGGTTGCTGAGGAGAAGATTGAAACTCACGCAACTTGGTAAGTACAACATTAGGATCATAGGGGATTAGACCAGTTACTCAGAATGAGGAGATAATTGTTGATTTTTTGAATGTGAACTGTGGTATAGAATCAATATGGTCTAAGAATTCAAATTTGTCAAACTCTCTACACCCAGTACGAGTTGCCGCTTCTACTGCCCCCGCATGGTAATGCTTATAGGGTTGAAAAACAAC